GATGTTAGCTCAGGGCCAGTCTTCCTCAGCAAAAAGAGGAGGATTGGCGTGGATGTTAGCTCAGGGCTGATCTTCCTCACAAAAAAAATAAATATAAATAAAGAAAATTTTGTCAGGTAATTCCTATACCTATGTTTCATTAGGGTCATTTTCTGTAGCTTTATTTTGTTCCTTTGTTTGGATTATGTGTCCTTGTTTCATTTTCCTTGAGTCTTTGTATTGGTAGCTACACATTAGAAAAAACCTCCACCTGTCCCACTCTTCATGGATTGGCCTCATCTAGGAGAAGACCCTTCACCAATCAGAGCTTCTGTGAGCCTCTCAAACCATTGTGCTAGTCCAAACCACTGTTTTGGTTCTTAGTGGCCCCAGTCTAGAGTATGCCGGGTCCCATCAGCCCTCCAAAACAAGCACCAGTCCCTCAGGTAGCTCCAGGAGAAATTAGAACATTGGATATGTTGTCCAACTCTTTCCCTCTCCAGGCAGAAGGTGGGAGCTGGCGTTTTTCGCCTGCTAGCTCTGCTCTAGGCTGGGGGGTGGAGCTATGGCAAGTGTTTGCATGAAAGTTCAAATCACCTGCTTTGTTCTCAGTGGCCCCCAAGTGTCTAGAATATGCCAGGTTCCATCAGCATTCAATACAGAAGCCAGTCCCTCAGGCAATCCCTGGAAAAGTTGGAACATTTGATGCACAGCCCACTCTTTCCCTCCCTAGGAAGAACTAGGAGCTGGGGTTTTTCTCCTACTTGCCCTGCATTAAACTGGGGGAGGAGCTGTGGTGAGTGCCCACAAGTGCTACTTCAAACCAGTGCCTTTGTTCTCTGTAGCCCCCAGGGGCGTAGCATATGCCAGATCCCATCTACACTCTGAGACAGGTAAGATAAAAGCTGATCTCTTGGGTAGCTCACAGAGAAGAACACTGGATCTGTAGTCCAACTCTTTCTGTCCTCAGGAAGAAGCTGGAAGCTGGAGGTTTCCTCCCAATAGGATGGCATTATGCCAGGGCTGGGGATTATGGTGAGAGGGTCTCTCTAGTTTTCCTACCAGTTGTGTTGTGGCTAGTCTCACGCTTGCCCAGGAGGCAGGAGCCTTTTAGCTAGTTTCTAGATTTCTCCCAAAGGGAATTGATCCATGTATTACTGTTGAATCAGTGTCCATGGGTGGAAGGCGAGTCTAGGGCCTCCTAGTCCACCATCTTGCTAATGTTACTCGAAATATTAATTTTTGTAAGTTGATCTTGTATCCAACAACTTTACCAAACTTAGTTTTTTTATTCTCTTGGTTTTTCTGGTTACATCATCATAGTATTTGTATGTTATTAGATTTCTCTCTTCCCTTCCAGTTTTCATACTTGTTATTTCTTTGTTGATAATGGTAGCCAAGACTGTATCAATTGGTAACAGTGGTAGTGGGCATCCATTTCTTTTTACCCATGTTATAGGGAGCATATCTAAATTTTCTTCATTTATGTGTAATGTTTCCCATAGTTCTGATAACTTTTACTAAGTTACAGATGTTACCTTGCAATGCTAGTTTGCTAAGTTACCATAAATAGGTGTTGGCCACATCATACAACTTTTCTATATGTGTCAAGATGATCATGGCAGTATGTGGTCTTATTTCACAATGGATGTACTCTCTGGTATGTGGCCATTTTGACCTGTGAGTTCATATTCCCATGAAGATATCAACTACCTTGTCTGGCAGTGTGCCTGGGGAAGGGCTGAGAGCCAGACCCTGGTCTGTGTCCCTCCAGGTGGATCCAAGAAATGGGAGGAGTTGAGTTCAGGAATAACGAGCCCTAAGACCTACAGATTCACTGCTGATAACTTTTATTTGCTCCTGCTCCATCAGGCAGCTCTTCTCATCAGGGTTTCATCTTTCAGCATCATTCACAGGAAGAGTAGATGCAGCAGCACCCACAGGAAGAGTCTGCCTCCCTTTTTCATAATCCACTGGCACTTGGGGTTTTAATAGTTCAGGAGGCAGAGGAGCAGATGATTGAGAGCGGACGGTCGGCCATATTCCTGTCTCCAGCAGGGCTTTTTCTTTGCCATTGCGTTATCTGACTCAGCAGCCTGGGCTGTTGCCACCAATTTCTGTGGTAAAGGCGCAGGTCGTGGTGGTCCCAAGGGAGTTCAGGGAAAGGCTAAATCAGAATTTAGAGACTACTTCCAGGTTAGCCTCTCCCTGCCTCCTGTTACCACCTATCCAGGCAAGTAGCCTCCACTCTCAAACACACACAAGTTTATACCAGTCTTCAGTCTCCCTAGGACTTTTCACAGTTTGTGTCAGTTCATAAAACCAGATTCTCTATCCTTTCTCCAGGGTCAGTTGGGAAGGGAAGCCAGAAGTTTGTGCACATTCAAGTTCAGACAGGAACTGTTGATTTTTTTTAATATTTGTTTTTATATTTTCAATTTCTGATAACTTTGTGTTTTCTCAGTGTTCCTTTATTTAGCATCTTATTCTTGTTTAATGGATATCAAATCTGTATTCATTATATTTCTTTGACATTTTTTCTATTCCTTGTGTTGTTTCCTCACAGATGCTTTGACCTCTTTTGGGTTCTTTTTTGGCTTACTGCTTGTTTTTAATTAGGAGATACTAAAAAGATGATTGGAGCCTCTGTGTAGTGGGGAGTGGGTCTCCTTTACTTTAAGATGATCTGGTTGGATTACTTTACTGAGGACTGCCCACTTTTGGTAACTGTTGGTCTTTTCTCTTGTGCATAATTTTCACATAAGAAGAAACCTTCACTTTCTCTCCTGGTGAGGGAGTTAGGAGCCTGTTATCAGTGTTCTGGGTATTAAATTGTAGTAAAGCAACAGAGTCTCATCATTACAGTATTGCAGGTTGACACCAATTCTCTGATTCCAGCTGGGTGTCTTATGCTTCAATTCAGTTATGGCACTAACTACCCAGAGTTAACATCAGATCCCATAAGTTAAAGGATATAGGTACCCAACAAGGCAGTCCTTAGTTCGAACACAAGCTGCAGGTGGGATCCCCAGGCTGCCCACGCTTCTGCCTGTCCAACTATAAATTCAGGGCTTTATTCACCCTCTCAGGTTTGATGATTCATTAGAACAACTCACAGAACTCATGAAAGCACTATACTTAGGATTCCTATTTTATGTAAAGGATATAATGCACAGTTAGATGAAGAGGTACACAGGGCAAGGTCTAAGAGGGTCTGAAGCACAGGAGATTTTGTCCCTGTGGAGTCAGGATGTGCCACCCTCCTGGTACGTAGATATGTTCACCAACCAGGAAGCTTCCCCCAATTCTTACCCTGAGTTTTTCATTGGGGTTTTATTACATAGGCAGAAGTGACCAACCAGCCCCTCCCTTGAAACTGTCTAGGGACCCATTGTGAATCACCTCATTAGCATAAAGTCAGTTATGATCAAAAGGAGCTTGTAAATAACAAGAAACAGTGCTATCAGGAAATTCCAATGCCCTGGAATTTTGAAACCCTGTGCCAGGAACCAGGAACAAAAACCAGATATATTCTTTATTATATAACAAGTATGTATATTTTCTGTTAATCCTTTGTTCTCCATTCAGGACCCATGCCCACAGCTATCCCTGATGTTCCTGAGTCCAGATTCCCTCTGGTTCCATCCTTCTAAATTTCTAGTTTTCTGTGAGAATGAAAAAGTATAATCATCCTTCTCTGTGGTGGGGAGCTGGTTCTTGGAGGTCTCACTACTAATACAGTCTTTGAATTCATCCTTCAGCTTTCACCACTTTCTGTGCACCCCACTATTAGAATGCCTGATGCCTCCAATTCATATGCATTTGTGAGGATCTGCACCATGAATCAGTGCTGTGGAATTCACCCATTCACTATAGGCTCAGTTTGACTTTGTCTGGTCTGCAGTCACTTATCACTCATCCATTGGCTTTCCAGCTTCCAAGTTTTATTGCCACTGTCTCATCTCCAGTATGCTTTGTCCTAGTGGGATTTTCCTTTCCCCTTATTAAGCTTTTACTGTAATTTTCCTGTAGATTCATGAATAAGCAATGGTAAACTTAATATGTACAGTCTGCCATTTTTAAAACAGAAATTATGCCCCTTTTTTATGAAAAGTACAGTTGACACTCATTACTCACAGATTCTGTATTTAACAATTCACCTACCCACTAAAATTTATTTGTAAACCCAAAATCAATACTTGCAGCACTTTCATCGTCATTGGCAGACATATGCAGAGTGAGAAAAATTTTGATGTGACATTCCTCTCTTCTCACAGGGTATGTTTCATTCTTAGTCTCTTCTTTCTCACACTCAAGCTGCCTCTCTTGTTAGTCACTGCCATGACTTGAAGAATCCATTCCTCTCTCTCCCAAGGTCAGCATCACAGAATTCCAAGGCAAACTATTTTCATTGTATCTTCAACCCATTTCCGGCTCTATCCACAGAAGAGATTTACCTGTCTACCATTCTCACCAGTGTTGTTCAGCACCTTAGACTTGGTACAGGCTGTCCCCTGATGTGAATTTGCCAGCAACACACTCTTTGCCACAGAGTCACTGACCACCCCCTCCATTTATACATTTCAACACGTTTATTCCTCAATAGTCCTTTGATATAGGTCTGACAGTTATCCACAAATTATAAAACATACGGTATGATGCTCTGTGTGTGTGTATGTGTGTGTATGCTTATATAATTAAAATAACTGTATAATATGGAGGATGGCCCTAAACAGTGTTTATTCACTGAAGTTTCAGGTGATTCTGATCCATACCAGAATATTAGTTTATAGAGGTCATCTATTTCTCTAATCACCCTCTTCAACTTCTTCCTCTATTGCCTCTCCTTAATGTGTGCTTTTCTTATCAATTTTATAAATTGTTTAGCCATATTTGAGAACTATCTTAAGCATTTACTTTCCCAGATATTATTTACAGCTTAATCTTCCCATTTTCTTTTTAGAAGTTTAACCTCTCCCAGAGTAGGAAAAATGAACATATGCCTTTATATTTTCTTTCAGATCTGGAATCAGTGTGTGAGACCAAGATATTATCTCTAAAGAAGAGACATTTTAGTCAAGTAATATTTACCCATGAAGACATGCCCACTTTTATTCAGTCTACATTTCTTGTTCCACATCAAAAAACTATTAATGAAGAGAAACCCTGTGAATGTAAAATATGTGGAAAGGCATTTAATCAGAACTCACAATTTATTCAACATCAGAGAATCCATTCTGCTGAAAAACTCTATGAATGTAAGGAGTGTGGGAAATCCTTCAGTCGTGGCTCACTTGTTATTCGACATCAGAGGATTCACACTGGTGAAAAACCATATGAATGTAAGGAATGCGGCAAGGCTTTTAGCTGTAGTTCTTACTTTTCTCAACATCAGAGGATTCACACTGGTGAGAAACCCTATGAATGTAAGGAATGTGGAAAATCCTTTAATTATTGCTCAAACCTTAATGATCATCAAAGAATTCACACTGGTGAGAAACCCTATGAATGTAAAGTATGTGGAAAAGCCTTTACTAAGAGTTCACAACTTTTTCCACATCTGAGAATTCATACTGGTGAGAAACCTTATGAATGTAAGGAATGTGGGAAAGCCTTTACTCAACATTCAAGGCTTATACAACATCAGAGAATGCACACTGGTGAGAAACCTTATGAATGTAAGGAGTGTGGGAAGGCCTTTAGTAGTGCCTCTACACTTACTAACCATCACAGAATTCATGCTGGCAAGAAACTCTATGAATGTAAAGAATGTGGAAAGGCCTTTATTCAGAGCTCAGAACTTATTCAACATCAGAGAATCCATACAGATGAAAAACCATATGAATGTAATGAATGTGGGAAGGCATTTAATAAAGGCTCAAATCTTACTAGACATCAAAGAATTCACACTGGTGAGAAACCCTATGACTGTAACGAATGTGGAAAGGCCTTTGGTAGTCGCTCTGATCTTATTCGCCATGAAGGAATTCATACTGGATGAATGATAGGCCCATGTGATTACCTTTATAATAATATTTTTAAAAGCAGGTAATGTAAAAAACAAACAAACAAAAAACCCATACAACCCCAGATAATGCATGACTGAAGGTTCCTTGTGTAGTAGATTTCTAGGGCTACTGTGACAAAGTACCAAGTACCACAAAACTGGGTGGCTTAAAACTACAGAAATTTATTCTTTCACAGTTTTGGAGCCTTGAAATCCAAAATCAAAGTTGTAGGCAGGTTCCTTCCTGGGACTCTGAAGGAGAATCTGTTCCATGCTCTTCTCCTGGCTTCTGGTAACAGCCAGCAATCTTTGACATTCCTTGGCCTGTAGATACCTCACTCTAGTCTCGGCCTCCATCTTCACAGTGCATTCTCCCTGTGTATCTGTATCTCTTCTCCTCTTCTTATATGGACACCAGTCATACTGGATTAGGGCTCACCCTAATGACCTTACCTTAACTTAATTACATCTGCAAAGACCTTATTTCCATGTAAGATCACATTCACAGGTACCAGGAGTTAGGACTTCAACATAGTTCAACCCATAACACTGTTAACATTGTTTTTTTAATGTATTTGCAATTTTTACATAACTTGTTAATCACATGTATTTTAAAATGTGAATTCAGGGTCTAAATTAAACCTCCCTTCCCCTGAAAAAGAAAGATTCTATCTCAAAACTGCTTCTTCAGGGGCTGGCCCCGTTGGCTGAGTGGGTAAAGTTCCATGCGCTCTGCTTTGGCAGCCCAGGTTCAGGCCACTCATCTACACCACTCATTAAGCCATGCTGTGACGGTGTCTCACATAGAAAATAGAGGTAGATTGGCACAGATGTTAGCTCAGGGCCAATCTTCCTCAAACGAAAAAAAAAGAGGAAGATTGGCAATGGATATTAGCTCAGGGCGAACCTTCCCCAGCAAAAAAAAAACAAAACTACTTATTCAGTAATTCCTTCCTTCCCAATTGTTTTGTTCTCCTTCTTGGTTGTATATTTGTGTTTATATTAGCTCATGTTTTAAGGCCATCTTTTCTATTGCTGTGGCCTACAGATCTGTGTTTCCACCAATACTACACTGGAAATTGTATCATACAGTCTATCTTTTAATTCCTGGCTGAATTGAACCTTTGTTTTTGAAGGCAGCTCTATTCTTTTTCCCTTTTGTAAAACTATATTTTCTTATTGTAAAAAAAACCATAGAGAATACAAGGAAAAAAATAAAGATTATTTGTAAGTCAACCAGAGATGACTACTTTCACATTATTATAACATATCCTTCCAAACTTTATTTAGTGTAATCATGACATGCATGCTGTACCATAACCTGCTTTTATCATGCTATTGTTTCAGTAACTACAAATGTATGTTTATCATTCTTTTTAATGGTGTCTTTGGCTGACTATCATTTTGCTAAATACTGACAAATATTATGGTGCCCATGGAAACTGCAGTTATAAAAGTTACCCTCTGAGTGCAACATTAGTGCTTTTTTTGTCTTTCTCTACAAACTTTAAATTTCAATGCTGAAATAACTGATGAAGATTTTCTTCCTGTAAAATATTGCCAAAAGCTCCAATCCCCTCATTGTAATCACTGTTATCAATTTATTTGTTTTTCCAGACCTCTTTTTTTTTTTTTTAAAGATTTTATTTATTTATTTTTTTCCCCCCAAAGCCCCAGTAGATAGTTGTATGTCATAGCTGCACATCCCTCCAGTTGCTGTATGTGGGACTCGGCCTCAGGATGGACGGAGAAGTGGTGCCTTGGTGCATGCCCGGGATCCAAACCCGGGCCACCAGCATCGGAGCGCGCG